ATACAGGATAGCGAAAACAAGGTATTTTAGGGTGGAACTGTATTACATTAGCCTGCTAATATGGACATTAATTATTAAACTAACAATTAATTAATTGTGGTTATTTAATCCAATCTAGCTAAATTTTGGCGTATTCATAATATATGTCCTAAAAAATTTACAACGTGGCAACGTGGTGTAATACCTTATGTACGGTGTCATTATTTTTAACTTACCGTAAACATTCGTTATTAAAATTCAAAGTGAGTTTTCTATCCTCAAAACCACTGTAGGCTTAATGGTGTTGAAATTAACATATTTCCATAATGTAACCAAAATGCGAAATACTAATACGATAATAAGAATGGAACTTTTCTGGATTTACAAGTATCTGCTCTTACCAATTATTTGATTGTCTATTTTCATTTATTCTGTATTAATTTTTTACCCCTTTTTCTATTCTTTTATGGCTGCTTTGGTCTCTACTTCATCGGGTTTTCGGCCTTAATGTTTTCAATTATATAATGTCAACAAACATCGCTGCGCTACTCTTTACACATTCATGACATTCTTTTACTGGCAACTATTGTTGACAGATTCTACTATAGTAAAGATTTAATTTTGGGAATATTAGTATGGTTTTCCAAATTAATTATGACGTTTAAAATATTAATAGGTGACCTACATTACAATTCCTATGTGCCCACCCAGTAAAAAGATATTAAAAACTGGCCTGGAATAGATCTCATAACCAAGCAAAACTCCTTTCGAGGTCCTAATAACTCCAAGGCCCAATGAGAGTAACACTTAGGTATGAAATAGAAAAAATACCTCAGTTTTCCAGGAAGAACAACTAATAGGAAAACTTATAGGAAAACTTATAAAATATAGGGTTCGGAGAAAATAACAATTATTGGGAAAATAATACAAAACAAGAATATGGAAAAACTATAAGAATACCATGTTCAAAAAGAACAGGAGATCTACTCTTTATGAATAGGAACCAATTTTTAACCATAACAGAGCTCAAAATAAAACAGGCAGGTATAATGGAGACCTATTATATCAACTATATCACAAAGATTCAGAAACAGATAAACATATTTGTAAGGTGTGGAAGACGGGTTTCCCCACGGCTTCGCTAGGCTCATTATGCATCCTGAATTGATAGGCCCATTTTAGCTCATTAGCCAGCCTACATATATGATATAGCTGACAACGTCGCGGAGAGGTGTTTCTCTTATATCGGCCAGTGTTAGCCAATCATACAGGATACTGACAGCCCCATTCTATGGAGATGCTTTCATACTTGGCAATGACTATTAAAATTCCTGTGATCAGGCGCAAAATCTGTCTAGTCATAATCAAGTATTTGTTTGCTTTAGTCTTGTCGGGATAACTTAAAAGTTTCCTGGCAACTCTGTAGCTAGGTCCAAAAAGTATTTCATTATCTGTCTTCTTGGATAGTCAATCATCAAGACTGTTACATTTGGCGTGAGCTTTTATCCATCTTAAAGTGACATCATTGTTAATGGATACTTCGGTCAAAGCTTCGTTATATTCTAGTACTAACCCTGAGTAAATTTGTGGTCTGTCCAGGGTGAGTAGTGCTTGTCTACTATCTGTATAGATGTGCATATTCCTTCCAGTGATATTGTTTTTGGTAAATTCTTTTGCTGCTATGGGAATCCCCGAGTTCGGTTTGAACTACACTGGGACTATTGTTTACAGCCCCTTTTATGTTTAGGTTTAAAGATATGGAGTATATTCCACATCCTGAGCTGGTTTTGTTTTAGAACCGTTGGTGTAGATATGAATCGTATTTGCCACTTCCGACTCTTTATTTGTTTCGTGATAAATGTATATGACTTGGAAGATAGGTCTTGGTGAGATGGAGTCTATATTCGCTTGAAGCAAGGAAAGCGTATGGAACGCCAGGGACGCCTCTTGTCAAAAGCGACGTCTCGCTCACCAGAACCTACATCAAGTTCTAATCCAACCATGGAAAATCATCCAATCTCATCCGAGTAACCTCTTTGATGTAAATATCAAGAGGAGTGAGACTAAAAATAACTTAATGGGCTCCTGTTGTGCTGTTTTTTTAATTTGTTTCAGTTTGTTGGTAGCTAATTGTTGGGTTTTCGATACCCCGGCAACTGCATCGTATGTTAGTATAAATCTTATAATAGCCGTGTAGGTCCAGGTGATGGCTCTGGAGGAGATACGCCAAGTACGCGATACGCCAAGTACGCCCCATGGTTCGACGGTTAAGAAATGTATACATGTTGACTTTATTTTCTAAGTAAGAGTTCCATGTTGACTTTCTATCATTTTTCTTGTGAACAGAACCATTTATGTCAGTTAAACATAGTATGGAACTGCGAACCGGTGAATCGCAGACAGGCACTTTCTGGAGTTGGACAACGCTGTCAAAGACCTCTAGAAACTTATACAAGGTACAAAGTTGTCAGAGTTTTAAGAACCAACATAACAATAAGCTGCATTTTTATCGGATATTAAGACCAGTTATATAAAAACAAGTATGTATATAATTGAAATGTCATATTTACATTTCTTTATTTATCTTCTTTGTTACGAATTATAATGCAATATTAAATAATCTTGGAGAGCAGGTCATTTCTATAGCAAAAAATATAACTTTTTTACTTAATAACTGAGGTCAAATAGTACGACGGATTATGTTAAACCAAGGTAACGTACGTAGAGCTTTCTATGCGATATACCAAAAATTATAGCTTATTCGATTTTCTCGCCTAAAAATCTAATTACGCCAACTTTTTTGATCATGTGTAGAAAAGTAACTGAAATATAACAACATTAGTGACCTACTATTATAACTTTAGTACCCTGTATCTCATTAAGTGGTAATCTGCAGATAAAATATTACTCATTCCATATGAATAACCCTATAGAGTTTATACCTTTATTTATAAATAATAAACTTTTCAGTTTCTTCTTTTATTGCTTTAATGATCACTTTTGTCAATTATTATAAAATTTGAAAAGCTTTCGATACACTTGCCTTATCGCTATTTATTTATACAGGATGGCCCATTATCATAAGAAATATAAGAAAAATATTTTTAAATAAAAGTTAGAGGGTTTACTTTCTTGCATATTTCCGTTTCATCTGGATAGCTGAAATGTCGATGTTTTTAAATGACTCACGACTCACCCTGTATATTTTTCATCATTGATTTCAGCGTAAAAAGTTACGTTCTAATACAATTTATTTAATTCTGCGGCGTTGGCAATTGATGACAAAAAATGTGAAAAAATACTGAAAAATTGTTAGTGACAAATATTACAGTTAAGTTAAAAATATTTAGTAGGTAGATAAATATGGGTTAGCTGAAGCGTCTGAGAGGCATAATCTTGCTAATTTTTAAACATCTAAAACTTCTTTTTTTCAAATTAAACACCCATTATATTATTTATAATATAGGCCCTGAAACTTACAGTTTTTGACAAATTTTTATTTCAATCGATATATTAAAAATAACATAGATAAAAGACACATAGGACTTCCACGCACTAATGGGGCACCCTGTATAGATAAATTACAGCGATTATGAAGTAATTTTATTTTTCCAACAAAATTTGCAAAGAAATAAGCAACCCTGTAATCGGTTAGTCCGCAAACTGGGTTACAGCACAGCCAGAGCGCAGAGATAGGTATATATATTCAGGGAGATAGGGACTTTTTTCCCTGTGAATGATATCGCCGCAATTAAAGCCAGCCCGTGGGCCTTCCCTTTCTCTGATCAGCCGACTTTGATAAATTAAAGCCACGGTAGCGATGAAAATCTGTTTATGAACTACCCTTTGCATTTGCTGTGATGTCAAAGAAAACGAGATGGGAAGAGACACAACAATGCTGTCTCGTGTCGACTGTGATTTGGGTCTGCTTTGCGAAATTATACCGGATATTTTTGTGGTTGAGGTCCTTTTTTGTAGATATTAAAAATAGACAAATGTACGGAGTAATTTATTGTCGTTGTGAAAAATTATTAACTAGAATACGTAATCATCAAGTATGAATGTGATATATAAAACAATAGAGCAATGGAAAAACTAAGGTCGGGGCAACTATATATATAAATATAAAAAAGAAGTCTTTGCTGACTTGTTAGGAAATGAACTTTGGAGTTATTGAATTTGCAGCATAACGATATGTGTACTCTTATAAGTTTATTCCAAGCTTTCGAATGTGGATACATTCATCTTCAGGGATCTAGAAATATTTGTTAAAGGACAAAGTTCTAGATACTAAGTTTATACGTATGCATAATCAACTAATGATAGATTGGTATAGAACACCTATCAGTTCTGGTAGATACATTAACTATTGGTCGTATTTGAATAAACAAATGAAAAATGTAGCCCTCAGTGTAGTAGTAGTTCCTTCCACCAAAAAACTTTAACATCCTATACAAGCTTTTTATTGACAACTCATACACATCTCACCTGGTAAAAAATCTATTATACAACTCTTCATCCATCTTAACGAATAATAATATAACTAATAATACAGAAAGTCAAAACAATGATGCAGAAGCTTAAAATGTACTACCGGATACCAACATCACATTTGTCACTCTACCATACACCTTATTACAAAATTAAATTTTAGTCCTCCAGCTTTCTTTGCAGCAAACAAATTAATTACCTCCTTGGTGTCGATCAGAGATGCACGAGTTTGATTTGATTTTAAGAGTTTGACTTGAATTTGACTTGAATTCAAATCAAACTCAAATCAAACCTAGCAGTGCTTTGAATCAAATCAAATCAAACTATAAAATTTTAAAGTTTGAAATATCAAACCTTTTGATCAAACTAGTTTGAAAGTTTGAATAATTAAATCGCTATGGTTTGCAAGTATTTTATTAGTACGGATATAAAAAAGCTGCTTAATAAAAATAAAGTATTTATACTTCGTTTGTTGGATATTAAAATAGAACAGAAATCTTGATTCACAAATTATAAATGTTGATTTACATTTAAATTTTTTTCTTTATTTTAATGTTGAAGTCTGTTAGAGAAGCCCTTAACAAAATCCTCTCTATTGATGCCGATGTAGCAGATATGGCTATGAAATTTCTAGCCATTTTAAACATTGGAAATACAGTCTCGTGCCTCTTCCACCAATTCAATACATTTTCTGAACTATTAGCCCTGCCTTCAGATGAATATTTTGTAATTTCATATTTCCAGGAATTTTCATCGACTAGGTTTGCGATTTTACTACAAGATGTTTGAAAGAAAGCCTTTACATCTATATCAAAATTTTCGGAATCTTTACATTGGCTTTGGAAGGCTGATTTTGTTAATAATTCGTTTTCTTGAATAGCCACATCATTAGCTTCAGAATCATATTCATTTTCATCAGGGATAAATTCTAAACCGCCGGATTGAAATGGTTCAGGCTCGGACATTTTCAAATCACTCATTAGTATTTTTTTCTAAAGAGATAGGTGGTCTGCATAAGCCTCTAGCTGTTTTTTGTGCCTCCTGCGCTTGGCAAAATATTTTTTTATTTATTTATTTATTTATTTATTTATTTATTTATTTATTTATTTATTTATTTATTTATTTATTTATTTATTTATTTATTTATTTATTTATTTATTTATTTATTTATTTATTTATTTATTTATTTATTTATTTATTTATTTATTTATTTATTTATTTATTTATTTATTTATTTATTTATTTATTTATTTATTTATTTATTTATTTATTTATTTATTTATTTATTTATTTATTTATTTATTTATTTATTTATTTATTTATTTATTTATTTATTTATTTATTTATTTATTTATTTATTTATTTATTTATTTATTTATTTATTTATTTATTTATTTATTTATTTATTTATTTATTTATTTATTTATTTATTTATTTATTTATTTATTTATTTATTTATTTATTTATTTATTTATTTATTTATTTATTTATTTATTTATTTATTTATTTATTTATTTATTTATTTATTTATTTATTTATTTATTTATTTATTTATTTATTTATTTATTTATTTATTTATTTATTTATTTATTTATTTATTTATTTATTTATTTATTTATTTATTTATTTATTTATTTATTTATTTATTTATTTATTTATTTATTTATTTATTTATTTATTTATTTATTTATTTATTTATTTATTTATTTATTTATTTATTTATTTATTTATTTATTTATTTATTTATTTATTTATTTATTTATTTATTTATTTATTTATTTATTTATTTATTTATTTATTTATTTATTTATTTATTTATTTATTTATTTATTTATTTATTTATTTATTTATTTATTTATTTATTTATTTATTTATTTATTTATTTATTTATTTATTTATTTATTTATTTATTTATTTATTTATTTATTTATTTATTTATTTATTTATTTATTTATTTATTTATTTATTTATTTATTTATTTATTTATTTATTTATTTATTTATTTATTTATTTATTTATTTATTTATTTATTTATTTATTTATTTATTTATTTATTTATTTATTTATTTATTTATTTATTTATTTATTTATTTATTTATTTATTTATTTATTTATTTATTTATTTATTTATTTATTTATTTATTTATTTATTTATTTATTTATTTATTTATTTATTTATTTATTTATTTATTTATTTATTTATTTATTTATTTATTTATTTATTTATTTATTTATTTATTTATTTATTTATTTATTTATTTATTTATTTATTTATTTATTTATTTATTTATTTATTTATTTATTTATTTATTTATTTATTTATTTATTTATTTATTTATTTATTTATTTATTTATTTATTTATTTATTTATTTATTTATTTATTTATTTATTTATTTATTTATTTATTTATTTATTTATTTATTTATTTATTTATTTATTTATTTATTTATTTATTTATTTATTTATTTATTTATTTATTTATTTATTTATTTATTTATTTATTTATTTATTTATTTATTTATTTATTTATTTATTTATTTATTTATTTATTTATTTATTTATTTATTTATTTATTTATTTATTTATTTATTTATTTATTTATTTATTTATTTATTTATTTATTTATTTATTTATTTATTTATTTATTTAATACACTGTTCAACAGGAAACCTAATTAAAGAACAGGATTACAAAAAAAAATATTCACAATCTGAACAACAAAATTTAAAAGTAAGTAGGTTACAATAAGAACAAGAGTTACAAGCTAATATAAGAGAAAATGATTCTTAATTTTACTTATAGTACAATTAAAGATGTCTAAATTACTGGACATTTCATTAGAACATTCACACATTACATAAATGGGAGAGCTTCTTAAAATATTTGTTCTAGGCACTGGAAAGTAAAAAGTGCATATAGACCTTGCCGAAAATCGAGGAACATGAAAGTTAATCCTTTTTAATACGGCGGAATCATCAATTTTATCAGTCAGTAACTTAAATAGAAACAGCACAGAGTTACAATAACGGCGAGCTGATAAGCTACTAACTGCGGTCTTTGCAAAAGAGAATTATGAGGCGTTCCGATCGCAGGGTAGACACCATCAATTTTGAAACTTAACAGTTTTAAAAATCGTCTTTGGACTTGTTCTAAGTTGTTAATATGAATTTGATAAACTGGATTCCAAACTATAGATGTATACTGAAGTTAGGACCTTACGAATGCATAGTAGAGAGTGGTGAGTGTAGACGGATTGGTTAAGTCTCGACTAGCCCGTACAACAAATCCGTAAAGATGAGAAGCAGCGAATATAATAGTATTTATATGCGGACCAAAAGATAATTCTCTATCGAACGTAACACCTAAATCTGTAATAGTCGTTAGTCTTTGGATGATTGTGTTGTTAATGATGTAATCAAATATTTTAGGATTAGCGCTAAGACCATATGACATGACAAAACATTTCGCGGCATTAGACGATAAATTGTTTCTCAGACACCAGTATTCAACTCTATCAATATTAGCTTGAAGGCGTTCGCAGTCAGATCTGTGAGCAATGGTCAAACACAATTTTAGATCGTCGGCATATAACATACAATTAACATCAATTATATCAGTGATATCGTTAATAAATAATATAAATAATAAAGGGCCCAGGTTCGAACCCTGTGGCACTCCTGATTTTGCGATATACTCAACTAATTTGAAGCTATTTATATACACATACTGTTTACGGCTTTGAAAATAAGATATAAATAGTTTTAGGAGGAAATCATGAAATCCGAATAATTTTAATTTTGTGAGCAAGGTTCCGTGATCCAATGTGTCAAACGCCTTAGTAAAATCTATGTATACGACGTCCGTTTGCCTTTTACCGTCAAAATTCTCGGCAATGATTTGTGTTACGTTAACAAGATTAGTTAGCGTTGAACGATGTTGTACAAAACCATGTTGATGCGATGACATTTTACCGCTGAAGTGCAAATTAATATCGCGATACAACAAAACCTCGAATACTTTCGAAAAGTTAGAAATTACAGATATTGGTCTATAATTGGTTACATCATTTCTATCTCCCTTTTTGAATATAGGACACACTTTCGATGTCTTCCACATATCTGGAACGGTAGATGTTTTAAGACATATATTTAACAAATATAAATCTAAAGCAAAAAATCTTACGACGACGCATCGTCAGCCGGGATACTGCATCCCTACTGTATCTCATTATGTAACCTTGAAAAATTTAAAAAGCGTTACGGCCGGTGCCGGTACGTACACTTTTCATATTTCAAACTATTTCAAACAGTTTGAAAAAGTTTGATTTCAAATCAAGCTTCCGAATTGATTTTCAAATCAAATCAAATTCTTTTATAAAAAAAATTTGATTTTTCAAGTCAAATCAAACTTGACTAGTCAAATCAAACTAGTTTGATTTGATGCATCTCTAGTGTCTATGTCAGTTCTGCGGTGGATTGACATTAACGCCAAACCTTTTAGTATTTCCTGGCCTGAGGAGTTTCTCAAATAAGTTTTAAGGCATTTCATAAAAGAAAAAGTCCTTTCAGGAATACATGTACTGGGTCTTCAACAATACCGAAAACCCACGTGACCAAATCGTCATGACAGCGGTTGGTGAAAATAAAAGTAAAAATCCCTAAATTTGAGCCAGTGCCGTAGATCTTCTTTTTTATGGTCTGCAACTACGAGAACAAAATTCAATTAGGTAACTGTTAGAATTACAACACAAAATCATAATATTAATTAGAGGTGCTTTACATTATTGTATTTTAATGTTAGAATTCGATATTTTAATTAGATTTAATCAAATTCAATAATCTAATTTTTAAAATTATGATATAAATAACATAACCTTAAAAACTGAGCTCTAGTTTGTATTTAACGAAAAGAATAATAAACTGAAATATGGTTCGTACTAGTTATTGTCATTACTACAAAAAAAAACCTTTACTAGAACAGGGCACAAAAAAGTTATGGATAAAAATGTTATGCATTAAAATATGAATAAAATTAAAAATTATTTACTTTAGATTGACTCTTTAAGGGCCGATTCCACCGAGATTAAAATGACATTGTTAATGTAAAAATGTCATTTTAAACTTCGTTTAACACAACGGTGGAATCGGTCCTAAGATAATTTAGCTACAGCTGAAACTCTAAATACGATAGGCAGAAGACAATGGCAGTATTTGGCAATTATTGCAGTTTAAGTAAACAGATTTAAAACTTACTGGAATTGAACCTGGACAATGGGAAGTAATAAACACATAATTTAAGTTTGTTCTATTATTTATTTGTTACAGGGTTTAAACCATTTACAAAAAACATTGTTATTTATATGCATACAAAAAAATATTAATATTATTAATGTAACAAGCACATATTTGTTTTACTTTAAAGCTCTTACTTCTCACTTTAAATTATAAAGGCATATCTATAAACAACTATTTTATTTAACAGGTTATTGAGTAGTAATTGGTGGTGCACAAACGATACTAATTCACAGTACCTATCTGTTCAAAATCTTTACCACCAGCTTTAATGCAAGCATTAAACGTTCTTTTTTGAACACATTATGCAGTTTCTCTTCAGTTATATTTTGTATATCATTCAATATAGGTGCTCCGATTCATAAAAGTCACAAACGATTTTGAATTGAGCGATCTGTAATATTCTATATGTAGTTTTAACAAAATTAAGGTAAAATGATTGTTGCAGTACCGAAACTTTATAGGGGATGCATTATCAGATTTTTTTTAACTTTATGGCTAGTTCGTAGTGATAAACCTAAAAAAAAATATGTTTTGAATTTCACTTGCCAGAGTCAGTCTTTAAAACACCGTTCATACCTGTTTGAGGTGCTGTTTTTTTTACTAATTTATTGGGAATTAACACCATGTTAATTTGCACATCTTCAACAGCTTTTGTTATTACTTTGGGCAT